CCCCACCTCCACCCCACCACCACCCCCACTCCCCCCGCTGCCTCCACCTCCACCTCCACCGCCCCCGCTAGCTCCTCCAGTGCCCCTGCCCCCCTTGCCCTTGCCAGAGCGACGCTTCCCACTAGGGGTAGACGCCGCACCGACCAACTCCAAACCAACGAGGTCGGCCGCAGCAGTAGAGGCAACAGAGGGGAAAAGAGGGGAGGGGGAACACCCCTCAAAGATGGGGGTGCGCGGGTCACCACGAGAGGCCCCTACAGCGACTATGCTCTTCTCCGCTGCTAGGAGGGCCTTCTTGAGGAGGTCAACAGTGAGAGTGGTGGGACAGACTGAGAGAAAGTGGTCCCTGACTACGCGAAGGGAGTTAGGGAGGCGGGTGACTATGTAGTAGAGAGTGATGTACATGAGGGGGGGGTTCTTAGCGCAGAAGTCAGCAGGAAGCGCCCTATCGCACTGTAAGAAAAGCTGCAGGTCATCTATCCAGACGTCAAAGTCAATGGCCCTACCCTCAGCGTCAAAAGCGAGGACACTAGGGGTAGCCATGACAGAAGTAGACTAGCAGCGCAAAGAGTAGGGGAAGGGCAGTGCGGAGAAAGAGGCGGTGCTCTTACCGGAGAGGGCGGCTCGAGCAACTCGGCGGTGCAGGCGGCTCGGCTGCTGGGCGGCTCGGCTGCTGGGCGGCTCGGCTGCCGGGCGGCTCGGCTGCTGGGCGGCTCGGCTACTGGGCGGCTCGACTGCTGGGCGGCTCGGCTGCTGGGCGGCTCGGCTGCTGGGCGACTCGGCTGCTGGGCGGCTCGGCTTCTGGGCAGCTCGGCGGCTCGGCGGCTGGGTGGCTCTGCAGCTCGGCTGCTGGGCAGCTGGGCTGCTCGGCGGTTCGGCTGCAGGGTGGCGCGGCGGTCGGCCGCAGGTAAGGTGGCGGGGCCGCAGGTAAGGTGGCGGGGCCGCAGGTAAGGTGGCGGGGCCGCAGGTAAGGGCGGCGGGGCCGCAGGTAAGGTGGTGGGGCCGCAGGTAAGGGCGGCGGGGCCGCAGGTAAGGTGGCGGGGCCGCAGGTAAGGTGGCGGGGCCGCAACGAAGGGCGGCGGGGCCGCAGGTTAGGTGGCGGGGCCGCAGGTAAGGTGGCGGGGCCGCAGGAGCAGGCGACGGGGCCGCATATAAGGGCGGCGGGGCCGCAGGTAAGGGCGGCGGGGCCGCAGGTAAGGTGGCGGGGCCGCAGGTGCAGGCGACGGGGCCGCAGGTAAGGGCGGCGGGGCCGCACGTAAGGTGGCGGGGCCGCAGCGAAGGGCGGTGGGGCCGCAGGTAAGGGCGGCAGGGCGGCTGGTAGGGTGGCGCGCTCGTAGGTAGGTGGCAGGGCCGTGGGTGAGGGCGGCGCGAGGGCGGCGACGGGCCGCTGAGGGTGGCGACGGGCCGCGTAGGGCGGCGTCAGGCCGCGAAGGGCGGCGACGGGCCGAATAAGGGCGGCGCGAGGGAGGCCGCTAGGGGCGACGCGATAGGGCCGAAGGAGGCCTAGGACGGGCGCGACGGTAGAGAGGGCACACGAGGCGCGACTCGGGCCTAAGCGAAGTGCGCTCCGGGCAGGAAAAAAAAAAATTCGACTTAGTGGGCCCTAGGAACCGTTCCCACGAGGGAACCTGCTCTGATACCATGAGAAGAAACGAGAATGAATGACTAAGGAATGAAAGTGATACAAGTATGCAACCCTAGCATTATGTACCCCATATAGGCTACCCCACTACAGCCTATACAACATTATAATTTGACAGTTCGAATACACTGTGATGCCATTCGGGCTGACCAACGCACCGGCGACTTTTTAGATGACCATGAACGAGGCATTTAGGCCGCTCTTAAATAAATGCGTGATCGTGTACCTCGACGACATCCTAGTTTACAGTCCGGATAAGCAGCAGCACTTAGCAGATCTGGAAGCAGTATTTAAGGTTTTAGACGAGCACAGATTACGGACCAAGGGTTCCAAGTGCGAGTTCTTCCAGGATAGGTTAGAATTTTTGGGGCACGTTATTTCGGAGGCTGGAGTTGAAATCGACCCAAAGAAGCTGGATACGGTAAAAGTGTGGCATCCCCCAACGAACATCCCGGAGTTGCAGAGCTTTTTAGGGTTCGTTAATTATGTGCGTCGGTTCGTCCCCAATATGGCACGGTTAACTGCCCCACTGACGGATTTACTGCGAAAGGGGGTCGCTTATACGTGGGGGGAGAAAGAGCATGCTGCCTTCTCTGCCCTGAAAAAAGTTCTCTGTTCACCGCCCGTCCTGCGCATCGCCGACCCACACCGCCCATTCGAAGTAGTTACCGACGTAAGGGATATCGCCATCGGAGCCGTACTGCTACAGGATTTCGGCAATGGCCTACAACCTATCGCATACGAGTCACGAAAACTGCATCCACCCGAGAAAAATTACCCGATACACGACCGCGAAATGCTTGTGATCGTGCACGCGTTCAAAGTATGGCACTGTTACTTGACTGGCGCGGACGTGACAGTACGGACAGACCATACATCACTACAGTACCTTCGCGCACAGCCACAGCTCAACCCACGACAGATTCGCTGGCTCGATTTCCTCGAGTCCAACTTTCACTACACGGTCACTTACAAAAAGGGAGACTCAAACATCGCCGACGCACTGACCCGCCCCACTGCCCAGATCCACGCAATACTACTCGCCCAGACAAGCCCGCTACTGACAGGCCTATTCACCCATGGGTACCAAACGGATCCATTCTTCACAGGAGGAAATTCGCAGTAGTTCGCAGCAGCAAAGGGAGTATATTACGTAAAAACCGGGACTGACCGCATCTGGGTGCCTGGGTATACACTGCTACGGGAATTACTGTTACAGGAGGCACACGACGGAGTTACCTCAGGGCATTTCGGAGTAGAAAAAACACAGCAGCAGCTGCAGCGGTATTATTACTGGCCCGAAATGTTGACCGACGTACAACGACACGTGGCATCGTGTCCCACTTGTCAGCTTATGAAATCCACACGACAGCGGCCGGCGGGACAGTTGCAGCCGATACCACCCCCAGAGCGTGTTTGGCAGCAGGTGACGATGGACTTCGTCACGGGGTTACCAGCCGGGGCGAGTGGGAACGACGCGATCCTGGTCGTCGTCGATCGACTGACGAAAATGGCAGATTTCGCAGCCTGCAAAAAATCAATCACAGCCGAAGAAACAGCACGCCTCTTCATCTCCACCGTCGTTCGACTGCACGGGATACCAGCCGCGATCATCAGCGACCGCGATACGAAATTCACCAGCAACTTCTGGCGGAACCTGTGGCAGCAGTTCGGCACGCGACTGCAGTTCACTTCATCATACCACCCCGAAACCGACGGACAGACAGAACGGACAAATCAGACCATGGAACAGCTCATCAGGGCCACGTGTGACGACCCGACCACGTGGGAACAGCAACTGCCACTAATCGAATTCGCGTACAACAACTCGCCATCCGCCACGACCCAACAGTCACCATTTTACCTAAACTACGGACAAGACCCGACAGTACCCATGACCCCGAATCCCGACAACCCAGTACCACGAGCACAACAGTTCGCCGAAATATTACAAGCAGCACGGACCCGGGCAGTAGACGCAATAAAAAAATCAAACATCATCGCTAAACGCAACGCCGACCGCCACCGCCGACCTGTCACTTACCAGTCCGACGACTTAGTTTTACTTGACACTCAGAACCTCCGACTGCCCATCACCCTGAAACTCCGCCCCCGATACTGCGGGCCATTTCGCATAAGCCACATGCTTACCGCCCACCTCATCCTCCCTACTGACTGGTACGTCAGCCCCTCATTCCACGTTAGCCTACTTCGCCCTTACGTCCCGTTCACGAGCCAACTACCACGTAATCGCCCAGCCAGCATGACAAGATCACCAACTGAACAAATCATCACCCCCGAAAAAATACTGAGTCACGGAGTTCGCGACCCTCGAGGAGCCCGAAGGATCGAGTTCTTACTCCGCTGGAAGGACCGTACACCCACCGAAGACAATTGGGTTCCCCTGGACAGAATTGAAAACCACCCCGTCCTCACTGAGTATCTGCGCAACCGAAATTTCAGGGATGTACACGCACTTTCGTAAGGAGGACCTCCTTAGAAGGGGGGGTAGTGTAAGGAAAATTCCTTTTCCTTACTTCGCATCCCTGCTCAACGCGTACATCACTGTAGCACCACAATTAGCACCGTTACCACTCGCCCTCGCATCGACAATCCGCCCGCCACCTTCGCACATCGCACCCCGACCTCACGGCTCGGCGGGTAACCCGCGCTCCGGGCCTCCGCTTCGACACTTTTTCCCAACCGCAGTCCCACGCCCGTCGCGCGACAACCACAATCCATTACCGTTACCACTGTAGTTTCGCTATACATTCTTTGCTCATGACCTCGCTCATTGTACTCTTGCTTCGATAGTGCAATTCTCGTTCGTTCACTCAATTGCACTCGTAACACTCCCACATGCCCGTCACACGTGACAGGTGTCAGCTGGCATGGCATTGAGGTTGAAGGAGTGGAGAGCAGGCAACCAGGCTTGCAAGAGACAGTGGGTGGGGCGGTGATGGGAGTAGGGCTATGCTGCTTGCACTGCTGCCAGGGATGAGTAGTCGAATTTCTCTGGCGTGGGGAGATGTGGCGAGGGATTTGGGGGGGCAGGATATGGATGAGCAGAAAAGTGAGGAAAGAGAGGAGAGGAGAGGAGAAGAGAGGAGAATAGAGGAGAAGAGAGGAGAGCAGAGAAGAGGAGAGGAGAGGACAGGAGAGGGGAGAAGAGAAGGGGTAAGGTTTAGGGTTAAAGAAGGTAGCACGTGGGTGACAAGCTACCGATCCGAAACGCTCACAGCCCTCACCACTCACACCCCTCGTCACTCCCATCCCCTTGCAACTCACACCCCTCGTCGCTCCCATCCCCTCGCCACTCACTGCTGCCCGTGGTGCAGGAAGCAGAGCCGAGGTTGGCCTAGTCAGAGGAGGCGACGCAACCCTTGAGGCACGCCACGGTGTAGGGCGCGGTGCTGCTGGCGTGGTAGTGGTAGAACGCCGGCTCGCCCGCGCTGCCGTCCCCCACGTGCCCCCCGCACTCGTCCACCCCAGTAGGTAGCTCCCTCCCTACGCCACGCGGGCCGTAGAGCGGAATGCCGTCCGCCAGGAAGCCCACGAGTGGAGAGTGTTCGCCTGGGGTGTCCTGCCAGAACGAGGCGCTGCGGGTGGGAATGGGTGGATGGGAAGAGGGAAAGATGTGAGTGCATGGAGAGATAGCATGAGAATCCCTAGTGATGTCATGGGAACGAATGGCATGAGGCAAGGATGCATGGACGGCTCAAGGCACGGTTTGGTGTGGAAAAAGCCACGGAAGCAGCACGTGCACCGCAGTGGGGAGGCGAACACATTAACTGACAGCAATGTGTGACTGGCAGCAGAGCACGCATGGGAGCAAGCATGGGAGCAGGCATGGGAGCAGGCATGGGAGCAGGCATGGAAGCAGGCATGGGAGAAGGCATGGGGGTTAACGCACGAGCAGAGCTGGAAGTCGGTGGTGCGAGAGGCGGAGTGTTGTTCAGGATCCGTCGCTTTGAGAGCTTACGACAAACTCATTACTCAATTAAACGCAAATCCGCTCCTCCTTTTGGGGTCCACTGAGTGCCTCCTCCATTGTGGCTGGTTCTCCAGGCAAGGGTGTGAAGAAACAGAACGCCATCCCCTCATCCTCTTCCTCATCTGCCTGAACCGCCATGGCACCTTGCTTGGGTCCTCCCAAACGGCTATACTTCAGCCTTGAGGGTGTTGCTGCCACTCTTTTCTCGCGGGTTGCAATCTGCTGCCCATGTGGTGAAGCTCCTCTCTGCACACTCCTCTTGGTGACCTTGGCGTTTGCAGCAGGCTCGGGCTGAGATGGTGAGTCCACACGTGCCGACTCATCCTCCAACCCCTCCTCCGCAGCAGGACCAGCGCCTTGCTGCTCACCATCGCCACTGTGGTCACTCAGCTCTGACCCTGGGAGATCCTCAAGGTGCAGCTGAACCTCCTCCACTGCAGACCGCTCAATCTCCTGCAGACGCAAGCCAATCTGCACCTGCTGCTGCTGCTGCCAATCCTTGTACATGACGTCCTCCACAAACTTGACGTCACGACTGACGAGCGTCCTCTTGCTCTTGGGGTCCCACATCAGCCACCCCTTCGAGTCAGGAGCCATCCCAAGATGGACAGCCCACACAGCAGCAACTTCCAGCTTGTGCCTCTGCTCCTTAGGCACCATCACAAGCCCCATGCAGCCCCACACCCGCAGCATGTCAATGGATGGCTTCTTCCCAAGCCAACGCTCGTAGGGCACCCAATGCTTGTCGCCAACAAGTGTCAAGACCCTGTTCTTGACCGTGATGACATGGCGAACGGCATCAGGCCAGAACTTGTAAGGCATCCCAGCAGCCCCCAACAAGGTCTTAGCCGCCTCGCCAATGGTCCGGTTGGCACGCTCAGCAATGTCGTTCTGCTGCGGTGTTCCTGGGCAGGTCAGCTGGTGTCGGATGCCGTTCCTCTTGAGAAACTTGGTGAATTCTCCAAGGAACTCTCCACCACGGTCGCTCCTCAGCACCTTCACCAGCCGCATCGCTTGCCGCTCCACCATCAGCAACCAATCCTCCTTGATCACCGCTGCAGCATCGCTCTTCTTGGACAAGGGACGCGCCCACGTGAAACGGCTCCATTCGTCCACCATGGTAAGGAAGTACAGCACTCCCCCAGTCCCCTCAGTCGTCATAGGACCCACCAGGTCCATGTGCACCACCTCCAATGGTGCCTTCGCTGATCCCTCCGCTCGTAGGAACGGGAACCGCGCAAACTTGTTCTGCATGCACGCCTCGCAGCTGCCATAGTGAGTGCCATCTCCTTGCAGTTGCAGCCCATGCACGCACTTTTTCTTGTGCATCACCTCCAGTGTTGAAACAGCCACGTGTGCGAGTCGCCGATGCCAAGTCTCCCAATCCGCTTGGCCCGAGGTAGCCGACGCCTTCACCGCCGCGGTTCCTCCAATCAGCTCCTCTCCTTGCACACCTTGCTGCTCCTCCTCGGTAACGCTCTCCTCCATAGATGCCGCCGTTGCCGCCTTGCCCGATTTCCGCCAAGGGAGGATCGGGATCTGCCACATCCGCTTGTGGACATCTCCCTTCGACTGCAGGTCCCAAATGAGGCGCTCATCGTTGTAGGCACGATAGCGCTCCGAGCCAATCGTCTCGGTGTTCACACCCGCATCTCCCAACCGGCCGGTAGAAATCAGGTTCGCGCACAAGTCCGGCACCCACAGCACGTTCTTCAGCCCCACGAGCTCTCCATCCGCTCCCATAAACTTGGCGCATCCCATGCCCATGACCTTGGCCTTGGCGCCCGTCGCGGATGTGACTGTAGAGATGGGTGCAGGCTGAATCTCATCAAGTAGGTCCGCACGAGGAGTCATGTGCCAAGAGCTCCCAGAGTCAATCACTCAATGGGTGAGGGGGTGTAGGAGAACCTTGGCAGCCATAGCGAGGTCGGTTGCGCCTTCGTTCACGAAGAAGAAGAACCCGGCCTTCCGCTCCTCAGATTTGCCGCCTTTCTCCTCATCCTTCTCCTCTCCACTAGCTCCCATGACTCCCCCACTCCTCGTGCCACCATGCTGGTTGCTTGATGAAGGCGGGGTCCAATCCTTGGGTCGTTGGTAGCATTTCCGCCAACGATGTCCGCGCTTCTTGCAGTAGAAGCACACCTCCCCTTGACCCCCGCCGCCATCCTCCTTAGGGTTGTCCTTGTTTTTGCCCTTCCACTTCTTCTTGAAGCCACTCTTTCCACCTCCAACTCCATAGCCAGCCCCCTCCTCCGAGCGCTCCACACTGCGCCGCCGCAAGTCCTCTAGAATGCGCGCGCGAATGTAATCCACGCTCCACTGGGGCTGTTGAGAGTTGAGGTTAATCGCAAGGGCAGACCACGACTCCGGCAGCTGTATCACGATCTCCACGCATTGCACGAGCTCCGGGTACACCACACCGCCGCCTTGTAGCTTCGTGAAGATATCCCGCATCTCATCCAACACCGGTTGCATCGGCTCTCCATCAACAAACTTGATGTCGCGCAGCCGCCACGCGAGTAGCACGATGCCAGTAGCATGTGTCGGTGAGTGCACATCTAGAAGCTTCCTCCAAGCCTTGGGGCCACACTCTGGATCACCCAAGAGGTCCTTGATGTGGTCAAGTTGTCGTCCGCCAACCGCTTGCACCATGAGCATATACGCGTCGAACGATCGCTTCATCCACGCTCCTTTCAGCTCCGCGGCCTCCGGCATCTTCTCCTTCCCCTCCACCAAATCCAATAGCTTGTATTGGGTATACATCAGCCTCATGCGGAAACTCCAGTGCTCATAGTCCTCCCCCATAAATTTCTCAATAGAGAAAGCTTTCACAGGATCCACGGTAGGAGATGGTGTAGAAGAAGTAGGTAGCGTAGGGTTGGCTGGTTGGTGAGTCCCCACTCCTCCACCAGCAACTCCCCCCTGCTCTCCAGCCTCTCTACTTCTATCCATCTCGCCACTAGCACCTCCGGAGTTCGTACCAACCATATTGAGGCCTTATGAACGGTGGAAACTTTAGAAATCGTTTGGAGAGAATTCTGCTAGAAATTTTGATTCTATGAAAATCGCCGTCGCGGACTAGATACTTCAAATTAGAACGCGGTCCGACCACCAATCGAAAGTTTGCAAGCTGAGCTACTAGGAAAAAGTCTCACACGACAACATTGGTTGAGAATTAACGACGATTCGTCGTCTCAAATTCGACTACCCGCTCTGATACCACTTGTTGTTCAGGATCCGTCACTTTGAGAGCTTACGACGAACTCATTACTCAACTAAACGCAAATCCGCTCGGTAGGAAGTTGCGCCTTAGGCTTATCTACCATCTCCAAGTTGAATCAGTTGTTAAGATGGCCTAGAGAATGAGAACCATATGAAAACGTCCAGCAGCCGCATGACTAGAATGGTGGAGGAAGTACAAGCATTAAGGCATAGAAAGTTGGAGATTGGGACTCCAAGAGAACCATGAGAGAGAAGGGGTTCTCCAAGAGCTAGAGAAGGATGGTAGGAACTTTCCGAGCAGCAAGGATGCAACCCTCATCATGAGGTCCTTGAGGTGTCACATGCAAAATCCAATCTAGTTGGATTTTGCCTAGGTGTTGCAACATTTGCAACCCATGCTAGAAACTTCTAGCCACCCCAACCAAAAGTCAAAGTTGCCTTCCTAACCACCCAACCAAAGATCCCTTTATAGTCATGTCCCAAGTAATCACCCAAATTAGATATAACCCCAAAAGGTAATAAGAAATCCAAATCTTGGAAATCTTGTAACTTGGGCGATCTTGGTCGGAATAAGGCGATCTTGGTGTCGTTGGAAAGCTCTGGATTTCTCCTGCATGATCAAGCATTTAGACTTGAAGAAAAACACAGAGATGATAATATCCAACAGCCATGCACAATGACATACGCTCATGCAAATCATGCAAGCACAAATAGCACGAGCACTCGGCAGGACGTTAGGATGACATGCACTCAGAATGACGTGCATCCAACAAACTCCCCCTCAGACTAACGGACTGCATGCACATATATTCACACAAATGCTAACTCTCATGCACACAATCACACATGCAGTCATGACACTGCTGCCCACACTAGTGCAATGCCATGCCACACATCTTAGCACACTTCCAATGTGCGCTCTCGGGAAGTCTCTTGGTGAGAAAATCTGCCGCCTGCTTGCTAGCCTTCACATGGTGAAGCTCAACAATCCCCTCCTTCACCATCTGCCTCACCCAATGCCACTTAATATTCATGTGCTTGTTCAGCCCATTGAGGATAGGATTATTTGCCATGCCAATAGCAGCCTCGTTGTCAGAGAAAAGTGGTGTAGGTCCCTCCTGTTCTGCTCCCATGTCCTCCAGCAGCTTCCTCAGGAGCACGATCTCCTTGATGGCATGGTACATCGCCATGTACTCTGCCTCTCCGGAAGACTGAGCAATCTCACTCTGCTTCTTGGACCTCCAGCTCACTGGTCCACCTCCGACCATGCACACAAAGCCGCCAACCGATGACTGATCCTCATCCTCTGAGGCCCATGTGGCGTCGGTGAAGCACGACACCTTCAAGGTACCAGGCGTGACCCCATCTGCTCCAATTTGTTTCAGCTGGCCGCCAGCTGAAAACTGAACACCAGCAGATGCCGTTGATCCAAGGTAGCGCACCAAGCGCTTTGCAACCTCCAACTGCTCCACAGTGGGCCGTTGCACAACTCTGGCCAGCTGCCCCACTCCGAATGAAGAATCAGGTCGTGTATGCACTGCAGCATACATCACACTCCCAATGAGTGACTGGTACTCGTTTTGTTGCTCATCCTCGAGTACATGATCCTCCTCAGCTGCCTTCTTCAGTTTGAAGCCCGCAGGGAACGGTGTCATCACAGTGCGACCCCCAGTCACACCATACCGCTCCATGACACCAGAGATGTAGTGTGATTGATGCACCTTCAGCCACCTCCTCTCAACATCCCTCTCAATCTGCAGTCCCAAGTAGTAGTGGACATCCCCCAGCATCTTGCACTTGAAGTTGTCCATCAGCAGCTTCTGTGTCCTCTCAATCTGCTCCATGGAAGGTGAGAACAGCAGTATGTCGTCGACATACACCAGCAGCAAAAGCAGCTGCTCCCCCTCTCCAAGCAGAAACAAGCTGTGATCCACCTGGGACGTCTTGAAGCCTCCACCCAGCAGCACCTCCTCCAGCTTCTCGTACCAACACCTGGGCGCTTGTTTAAGGCCATAGATGGCCTTCCTAAGCTAGCACACCCAGCTGGTCCCATCCTCATAGCCGTCGGGCTGCGCCATGTAGATATCCTCCAGCAGTACTCCATTTAGGAACGCAGTGGTGATATCCATCTGCTTCACGTGCCATCCCTTCACAGCTGCGCCAGCCATCAAAGTCCTCAATGTCACTAGCTTAGCAACGGGAGCGAAGATCTCCCCAAAGTCTACCTTCTCCTTCTGCTCAAACCCCTTGGCGACCAAACGGCTCTTGAATCGCTCCAACGCACCATCAGCACCACTCTTCACTTTGAAGACCCACTTGCTGCTGATCTGCCGTCGCCCCTCGGGTAACTCAACAAGCTACCAAGTCCCATTCTCAATGAGACTGTTGAACTCCGTATCCATGGCAGCCTTCCACTCCTCCTTTTGGGGTCCACTGAGTGCCTCCTCCATTGTGGCTGGTTCTCCAGGCAAGGGTGTGAAGAAACAGAACGCCATCCCCTCATCCTCTTCCTCATCTGCCTGAACCGCCATGGCACCTTACTTGGGTCCTCCCAAACGGCTATACTTCAGCCTTGAGGGTGTTGCTGCCACTCTTTTCTCGCGGGTTGCAATCTGCTGCCCATGTGGTGAAGCTCCTCTCTGCACACTCCTCTTGGTGACCTTGGCGTTTGCAGCAGGCTCGGGCTGAGATGGTGAGTCCACACGTGCCGACTCATCCTCCAACCCCTCCTCCGCAGCAGGACCAGCGCCTTGCTGCTCACCATCGCCACTGTGGTCACTCAGCTCTGACCCTGGGAGATCCTCAAGGTGCAGCTGAACCTCCTCCACTGCAGACCGCTCAATCTCCTGCAGACGCAAGCCAATCTGCACCTGCTGCTGCTGCTGCCAATCCTTGTACATGACGTCCTCCACAAACTTGACGTCACGACTGACGAGCGTCCTCTTGCTCTTGGGGTCCCACATCAGCCACCCCTTCGAGTCAGGAGCCATCCCAAGATGGACAGCCCACACAGCAGCAACTTCCAGCTTGTGCCTCTGCTCCTTAGGCACCATCACAAGCCCCATGCAGCCCCACACCCGCAGCATGTCAATGGATGGCTTCTTCCCAAGCCAACGCTCGTAGGGCACCCAATGCTTGTCGCCAACAAGTGTCAAGACCCTGTTCTTGACCGTGATGACATGGCGAACGGCATCAGGCCAGAACTTGTAAGGCATCCCAGCAGCCCCCAACAAGGTCTTAGCCGCCTCGCCAATGGTCCGGTTGGCACGCTCAGCAATGTCGTTCTGCTGCGGTGTTCCTGGGCAGGTCAGCTGGTGTCGGATGCCGTTCCTCTTGAGAAACTTGGTGAATTCTCCAAGGAACTCTCCACCACGGTCGCTCCTCAGCACCTTCACCAGCCGCATCGCTTGCCGCTCCACCATCAGCAACCAATCCTCCTTGATCACCGCTGCAGCATCGCTCTTCTTGGACAAGGGACGCGCCCACGTGAAACGGCTCCATTCGTCCACCATGGTAAGGAAGTACAGCACTCCCCCAGTCCCCTCAGTCCTCATAGGACCCACCAGGTCCATGTGCACCACCTCCAATGGTGCCTTCGCTGATCCCTCCGCTCGTAGGAACGGGAACCGCGCAAACTTGTTCTGCATGCACGCCTCGCAGCTGCCATAGTGAGTGCCATCTCCTTGCAGTTGCAGCCCATGCACGCACTTTTCCTTGTGCATCACCTCCAGTGTTGAAACAGCCACGTGTGCGAGTCGCCGATGCCAAGTCTCCCAATCCGCTTGGCCCGAGGTAGCCGACGCCTTCACCGCCGCGGTTCCTCCAATCAGCTCCTCTCCTTGCACACCTTGCTGCTCCTCCTCGGTAACGCTCTCCTCCATAGATGCCGCCGTTGCCGCCTTGCCCGATTTCCGCCAAGGGAGGATCGGGATCTGCCACATCCGCTTGTGGACATCTCCCTTCGACTGCAGGTCCCAAATGAGGCGCTCATCGTTGTAGGCACGATAGCGCTCCGAGCCAATCGTCTCGGTGTTCACACCCGCATCTCCCAACCGGCCGGTAGAAATCAGGTTCGCGCACAAGTCCGGCACCCACAGCACGTTCTTCAGCCCCATGAGCTCTCCATCCGCTCCCATAAACTTGGCGCATCCCATGCCCATGACCTTGGCCTTGGCGCCCGTCGCGGATGTGACTGTAGAGATGGGTGCAGGCTGAATCTCATCAAGTAGGTCCGCACGAGGAGTCATGTGCCAAGAGCTCCCAGAGTCAATCACTCAATGGGTGAGGGGGTGTAGGAGAACCTTGGCAGCCATAGCGAGGTCGGTTGCGCCTTCGTTCACGAAGAAGAAGAACCCGACCTTCCGCTCCTCAGATTTGCCGCCTTTCTCCTCATCCTTCTCCTCTCCACTAGCTCCCATGACTCCCCCACTCCTCGTGCCACCATGCTGGTTGCTTGATGAAGGCGGGGTCCAATCCTTGGGTCGTTGGTAGCATTTCCGCCAACGATGTCCGCGCTTCTTGCAGTAGAAGCACACCTCCCCTTGACCCCCGCCGCCATCCTCCTTAGGGTTGTCCTTGTTTTTGCCCTTCCACTTCTTCTTGAAGCCACTCTTTCCACCTCCAACTCCATAGCCAGCCCCCTCCTCCGAGCGCTCCACACTGCGCCGCCGCAAGTCCTCTAGAATGCGCGCGCGAATGTAATCCACGCTCCACTGGGGCTGTTGAGAGTTGAGGTTAATCGCAAGGGCAGACCACGACTCCGGCAGCTGTATCACGATCTCCACGCATTGCACGAGCTCCGGGTACACCACACCGCCGCCTTGTAGCTTCGTGAAGATATCCCGCATCTCATCCAACACCGGTTGCATCGGCTCTCCATCAACAAACTTGATGTCGCGCAGCCGCCACGCGAGTAGCACGATGCCAGTAGCATGTGTCGGTGAGTGCACATCTAGAAGCTTCCTCCAAGCCTTGGGGCCACACTCTGGATCACCCAAGAGGTCCTTGATGTGGTCAAGTTGTCGTCCGCCAACCGCTTGCACCATGAGCATGTACGCGTCGAACGATCGCTTCATCCACGCTCCTTTCAGCTCCGCGGCCTCCGGCATCTTCTCCTTCCCCTCCACCAAATCCAATAGCTTGTATTGGGTATACATCAGCCTCATGCGGAAACTCCAGTGCTCATAGTCCTCCCCCATGAATTTCTCAATAGAGAAAGCTTTCACAGGATCCACGGTAGGAGATGGTGTAGAAGAAGTAGGTAGCGTAGGGTTGGCTGGTTGGTGAGTCCCCACTCCTCCACCAGCAACTCCCCCCTGCTCTCCAGCCTCTCTACTTCTATCCATCTCGCCACTAGCACCTCCGGAGTTCGTACCAACCATATTGAGGCCTTATGAACGGTGGAAACTTTAGAAATCGTTTGGAGAGAATTCTGCTAGAAATTTTGATTCTATGAAAATCGCCGTCGCGGACTAGATACTTCAAATTAGAACGCGGTCCGACCACCAATCGAAAGTTCGCAAGCTGAGCTACTAGGAAAAAGTCTCACACGACAACATTGGTTGAGAATTAACGACGATTCGTCGTCTCAAATTCGACTACCCGCTCTGATACCACTTGTTGTTCAGGATCCGTCACTTTGAGAGCTTACGACGAACTCATTACTCAACTAAACGCAAATCCGCTCGGTAGGAAGTTGCGCCTTAGGCTTATCTACCATCTCCAAGTTGAATCAGTTGTTAAGATGGCCTAGAGAATGAGAACCATATGAAAACGTCCAGCAGCCGCATGACTAGAATGGTGGAGGAAGTACAAGCATTAAGGCATAGAAAGTTGGAGATTGGGACTCCAAGAGAACCATGAGAGAGAAGGGGTTCTCCAAGAGCTAGAGAAGGATGGTAGGAACTTTCCGAGCAGCAAGGATGCAACCCTCATCATGAGGTCCTTGAGGTGTCACATGCAAAATCCAATCTAGTTGGATTTTGCCTAGGTGTTGCAACATTTGCAACCCATGCTAGAAACTTCTAGCCACCCCAACCAAAAGTCAAAGTTGCCTTCCTAACCACCCAACCAAAGATCCCTTTATAGTCATGTCCCAAGTAATCACCCAAATTAGATATAACCCCAAAAGGTAATAAGAAATCCAAATCTTGGAAATCTTGTAACTTGGGCGATCTTGGTCGGAATAAGGCGATCTTGGTGTCGTTGGAAAGCTCTGGATTTCTCCTGCATGATCAAGCATTTAGACTTGAAGAAAAACACAGAGATGATAATATCCAACAGCCATGCACAATGACATACGCTCATGCAAATCATGCAAGCACAAATAGCACGAGCACTCGGCAGGACGTTAGGATGACATGCCCTCAAAGTGCATCCAACATTACCGACCTGGCAGAGGGGTTGGCGACACCAGGCGCAACATGGTAGTGGTACTGGCCGAAGGGAGACGGGTGCCCCCCACACGTGTCGAAGCTGGGCCCCTCATACTTCAACGCGTCCTGCCCCAGCGCGTCGCATGCACTGCGGGCAGGAGGGGCAGGAGGGTAGGAGGGGAGGAGGGGAGGGTGGGTGAGACAAGGGGATGAGGGGCGAGTGAGGGGGGATGCAACACCAGAATGAAGAGCCAGCTGGCACGAGGATGGGACAGAAAAGTGGACGGTGGAAGGGAATGACACTGACGAGTGCACCGACGTGATTCATCTCACTCACTCTCACTCTCCCTCTCCTCTCTCCCCTCTCCCCTCTCCCCTTTGAGCCCGCCGTTCAGTGCAAATAAGCCATGGGGCACCCATCCCGCTCCCCCTGCTGCCCACCTGTAGAAGGGCACGCCATTGAGGGCAAAGCCGATGGGCCCCATCTTGCAGCCGCCCATGGAGACGGGGATGGCGGAGGCGGCGAGTGTGGGGGCGAGCGGCACAGCGAAGGAGAGCGTCTGCTGCACTGGCGTGTTCACCGTGCCCCCAACTCGCCACTCGTACCTCGGACACCCGTTGCTCGCCATCACCCTGCCAGGGCGGGGCGGGGGGAAGGGCGGGGAACAGGGCCGGGGGAGCAGCGCAGGGGGAGCAGAGCCGAGGGGAAAGGGAGACATGAGGGGCAAAGGGTGCCTGGAGCGAGGCATGATGCGGTAATGGCGCGAGGAGGCAAGCAGGATGGCATGCAGAGCGGGTGGGCGCACCTCTTGCCATTGCTGCTCGTGAGCTTGGCGCTCCTGCTGCTGCCGCTGTTGCCACACGCACTCCCACCCGATGACCCGCCGCCCATGCCTCCCCCACCCATGCCTCCCCCACCCATGCCCCCTCCGCCCAGGCCTCCTCCGCCCACGCCTCCTCCGCCCATGCCTCCTCCTCCGCCCAAAATTCCCCCGCCCACGCCTCCTCCACCCAAAATTCCCCCGCCCACGCTTCCTCCGCCCACGCCTCCTCCGCCCATGCCTCCTCCACCCATGCTTCCTCCGCCCATACCTCCTCCGCCCACGCCTCCTCCGCCCATGCCTCCTCCGCCTATGCCCCCTCCACCCATGCCTCCTCCTCCGCCCAAAATTCCCCCGCCCACGCCTCCTCCGGCCAAAATTCCCCCGCCCACGCCCCCTCCACCCATGCCTCCTCCGCCCACGCTTCCTCCGCCCAGGCCTCCTCCGCCCGGGCCTCCTCCGCCCAAAATTCCTCCGCCCAAAATTCCCCCGCCCACGCCTCCTCCGCCCAAAATTCCCCCGCCCACGCCTCCTCCGCCCACGCCTCCTCCGCCCATGCCTCCTCCGCCCATGCCTCCTCCGCCCATGCCTCCTCCACCCACGCTTCCTCCGCCCACGCTTCCTCCGCCCATACCTCCTCCTCCGCCCACGCCTCCTCCGCCCAAAATTCCCCCGCACACGCCTCCTCCGCCCACGCCTCCTCCGCCCATGCCTCCTCCGCCCATGCCTCTTCCGCCCATGCCTCCTCCGCCCACGCTTCCTCCACCCACGCTTCCTCCACCCATACCTCCTCCTCCGCCCACGCCTCCTCCGCCCACGCCTCCTCCGCCCATGCCGCCTCCTCCGCCCATGCCTCCTCCGCCCAGGCCTTCTCCGCTCATGCCTCCGCCCACGCCTCCTCCGCCCACACCTCCTCCGCCCACGCTTCCTCCGCTCATGCTTTCTTCGCCCATCCCTCCTCCGTCCACCCCTCCTACGCCCAGGCTTCCTCCGCCCAAAATTCCTCCGCCCATGCCTCCTCCGCCCAAAATTCCCCCGCCCACACCTCCTCCGCCCACGCTTCCTCCGCCCATGCCTCCCCCGCCCACCCCTGCTCCGCCCACGCCTCCTCCGCCCACGCCTCCTCCGCCCACGCCTCCTCCGCCCATGCCTCCTGCGCCCACGCCTCCTCCGCCCATGCCTCCTCCGCCCATGTCTCCTCGCCCAAAATTCTCCCGTCCGCGCCTCCTCCGCCCAAAATTCCCCCGCCCACACCTCCTCCGCTCACGCTTCCTCCCATCCCTCCTCCGCCCACCCCTCCTCCGCCCACGCTTCCTCCGCCCACGCTTCCTCGACCCATACCTCCTCCTCCGCCCACGCCTCCTCCGCCCACGCCTCCTCCGCCCACGCTTCCTCCGCCCATCCCTCCTCCGCCCACCCCTCCTCCGCCCAAAATTCCCCCGCCCACGCCTCCTCCGCCCAAAATTCCCCCGCTCATGCCTCCTCCGCCCACGCTTCCTCCGCCCATCCCTCCTCCGCCCACCCCTGCTCCGCCCACGCCTCCTCCGCCCACGCCTCCCCCGCCCACGCCTCCTCCGCCCACGCCTCCTCCGCCCACGCCTCCTCCGCCCACGCCTCCTCCGCCCACGCCTCCTCCGCCCACGCCTCCTCCGCCCACGCCTCCTCCGCCCACGCCTCCCCCGCCCACGCCTCCCCACGCCTCCCCGCCCACGCCTCCTCCGCCCACGCCTCCTCCGCCCACGCCTCCCCCGCCCACGCCTCCCCCGCCCACGCCTCCTCCGCCCACGCCTCCTCCGCCCACGCCTCCTCCGCCCACGCCTCCTCCGCCCACGCCTCCTCCGCCCACGCCTCCCTCGCCCACACCTCCTCCGCCTATGCCTCCCCCGCCCGTGCCTCCTCCGCCCGCGCTACCCGGTTGTCCGCTCATTCCGCCACCTCCTTGCGAGCCAAACCCGCCCTGCCCGCTCTGCCCGCCGCTCGTCGCGCCACTTCCGCCGCCTCCGCCGGTCGAGGGGGGCCGCCGGCCAGTCCCCAATCACCCCACCAAGCCGCCGAGCCTTCCCCCGAAACGCGGAAGGCCGAGCGAGCGCGAGTTGCACGCAGCGTGATCGATGCGCACGAAGCAAAGAAGCGCGACGAGCGCGAGGGCGGGGACGAGCCGGGACGAGGCGCGGCGAGATGCCGTCATGGCGGGCGCCGGCGCGTAACGCTGAAAGAAACGCGCAGCGTAGCTTGGACACTCAGCGGAGAGTCTTTGGCGGCGCGCCTCAGAGGCGAATGCAAGGAAGCGAGGCAGGAGAAGAGCGGAGAGAAGCTGGTTGTCGCCAAAGCAACGGCGACGGCGGTTACAGTGTGAGCGAGAGAGGCTCTCTCTTATAATCATGACTGGCCCCAACTCACCCGCCGGGGGGGGCCCACGCAGGTTACCTCGGGGCTACCTACTCCAACTTCACGCAAACTCATTGCACGTCCGCTCCGCGGCATTGATGCTTGAGGAGGTCTACATTGCGTAGCGCAATCCCCGAAGACTAAGGAATGTTCATGCAATGATGGTGATGATTGGCTTAGGAATCGTCGACAGATTCGGCAACGATGGTTGTGACGATCCGCTCGCCAACCATTGGCCTATTCGATTTGATAGCCGGTTTACCATACCGCGTACGAATGGGGGATTGGGGGGGCGGGGGAAGGGAGGAGGGGGGGTGGGGCGGCAGCAGAGCAGAGCATTCCGAACATGTCCCAGCTAAAAACAAAACCCCACGTTTGACATTGCCGGCGGCTATACCCACTAGCTAGCGAGCATTGGCTACGGTGCTTGATTTAGCGGGGAGATGACGTAAACCGCACGATACGAAACCTGCGGGCAACGCCACACTGGTGACAAACTGGCGCTAGGTGTAAAACATAGGCCTTATTTGATAGCTTTGAAGTCCAGGGGTAACCACAGTCCTATCAAAGTATTGCGTGACTCGGTAAAGGCTCTGCAGCTGCAAACGAGGGTTTTAAACCTTACGAGAGGTTAGGCGGATCCAAACCAGAACCTCAAGTACGTTCGGCACACCTACGAATCTGGTGCGGTAATTTTCGCTGCGGACCGCGGTCCAAACACTGTTGCCCACTGATCAAGCAACAGTACTTCACGGGCAAAAATACTTGGTTTCCGCTGGCTGCACCAACGACAGTATCCCCAATGCCACTTTGAAGGTGTAAACATTTCGGGCAGAAATTGTGTAAAAACATTTGTACCCTAAAACGTTTGGTGTACAGTTTTCCCGTTAAGCAGTTGATTATGATTTTTTGAAACGCGTTTGTGGTCGAGGGTAGACTTGGATTTGAATTTTTCATCCTTCAAATACCCAGCAGTGAGCACCACGTGCTATTTTGGAATTTTGTGTAACAATTTCTCGTATCTGATCTCGCTCGAATCAATTGAATTGCGCACTGTGTAAGTTTGTTTTATGCGTTGACTAGGCGGTTCTGACTGTTGCGACTTGGGCTGTTCGGGCAGCTGTCAAAGCTGTAAACCAAATCAAGTTGCATATGGAAGGTAGTGACCCCAGGTTTGGAAACCCTAGGCCGACTCGGCTATACTTTGGTGGGGCTGTACAAAAGAATGAAGTGCAATCGAACAAGGCCATAGGGAATTTATATATTTCCGTGATACGAACCATACCTTCACTACGAACCATCGATGCTGAACCTCGAGCTCGCCGCCATGGATTTCTTCAGGGTCTTCAACGCGGCATTCCGTGAAGCAGATTTATCAGTTGGCTTTAAGAGACACAGCTTATTACTCGCCTTATCGCGACGAATCGATTGGTACCAGGGCTCTCGATTCATTTTGGGGCACGTAACCTGATCCGAGTTGTGACACGTTACACCCTGACTCTGCAGTGTGCCTTGGCAGTCGTACCCAAGAAATGGCAGTGTGATTTTTTTTCGAGGTCGAATCTGGCAGGGTGAGAAATCCAAAAATACTGCCTAGCTAAAACGTTTAGGTCTAGCAGTCGATCATGCCATATCGATGATTCCTAGAAGCCATAACATCTTGTCGAACTGGGGCCCAGTTCAGCTGGCGTTATGGGCGTTATGGCTGTTTAAACCAGCCTCGAAAAACGCCGGGTCGAAATAACTACGAAGCCAGAATGCAATAGTTGTGTAACTTCGGAAAACGGGGTTGAGTGTTCGGCAGGCGTTAACAATGATGGCGTTATGGGAGCTGAACATTCGAAGAGGCCAGAATGCAGTTGCTCTGCTGGATCGCACAATCTCTGTTCACCTTCGAACAATCATATGATTGGCCAGTCCATTTGACCAGTCGCATATGATTGGCCGCATCACTAATTAAGAAAGTTAGAACGAGAATGAAATGACTATGAATGAAGTGAGTACAAATAGGAAACCCTAGTTGGGTTGTACCCCCTATGGGATACCCCACTATAGCCTACACAAATAAGTAAGCTATAACATTCTGACACACCCCCATAGGCAAAGTGGGGGAGAACAAGGGGTCACAAGACCAGTCAAGCAAAAAACAAAGCAAAGCTCAGGGTGGATCACAAAGTCACCACACATTCCGAGCACAAGTTCAAGGGCCACAAGGCCAGTTCACATGCAAGACTATATATAGAGATATACAAGAGTCAAGCAAGCAAGAGCAAGAGTATATATAGGTCGAGGTACAAGCAAGGTCAAGAAGTCAGCAAGTGAGGGAAGACAGGCACAAGGCCCAACTGCGTGCAGCAACGCTGATGATCACAAGGCGCAAGTGCCTTGGTGAAGACATCAGCAGTGTTGGCCTCAGAGGCCACGTACGCAAGTCGCAACTGTCCACGCTGCTGTAGCTCAGGAGCAAGAAAGTAGCGGAGAGCAATGTGCTTTGTCCTGTGCTCCAGTCGCTGCTCTCGACACAAGGCTAGCATGGCCTTGTTGTCTACGTACAGGACTGGAGGAGAACGAGGCGGCTCTCCAAGGTCGATCAACAGGTAGGTGAGCCAGCGTAACTCCTGTGCAGCCATAACCCCGGCGTAGATCTCAGCCTCACAACTGGAGCCGAGAACAGAAGACGAGCAGGTAGCCCGCCACGAAACAGAGCCGGAACCAAGGCTGAAGGTGTAACCCTATGACGACCGCTGCGTAGCCTGGTCGTCAGCCCAAGAAGCGTCCGCGTGCCCAGTGAGGACCACTGGACTGCACCCTCCAAGCACTAGCCCCATGCCCGACGTACTGCACAAGTAGCGCAACACCCTCTTCGCTGCAGCCATGTGCTCTGGTCGGTGTCTCCCAGGAGCAACATAGCGAGCGAGAATGCTAAGAGGGTATGCAAGGTCAGGTCGTGTGCAGGTCATCAGGTACATGAGGCAGCCAACAAGCTCTGCATACGGGCCACTCGACTCTACGGACTCATCCGAAGGCAGAGCAGAGAACGAGTGGCGAGTAGGCAGAGGAGTGGCCTGAGGCGAGGAGTACGTGAAGCCGAAGCGCTGAAGGACCTGCTGCACCATGTGTGACTGAGTCAGGGTAATGGTGCGGCGTGCTCTGTCTCGGGTGATCTGCAAGCCGAGGTAGCTGCGCAGTTCACCCAGGTCAGTGCACGTGTGTCTCTTCTACAGCTCGGACTTCACGTAGGCGAGTCCAGCAGTGTCAGCTGTGGCAAAGACCAAGTCGTCGACGTACACGAGGATGTAGAACGGCGGCAGAGAGGTGTCGGTGCGCAGAAACAGCGACGGGTCGGCAGTAGAAGGAGCAAACCCAAGTGCCGCCAGCGTAGTCCTCAGTGTGTCGTGCCACTCACGTGGCGCCTGGCGGAGACCGTAGACTGGACGCCGGAGAGTCCACTGGGTACCAGGAGGGAAAGACCCAGTGAAGCCAGGTGGGCGACGCAGCCAGATCTCCTCGTGCAGGCTGCCCTGCAAGAAAGCTGTGCTGAAGTCGAGAGAGTGCAGCTCGTAGTCACGGTGTGCAGCAACGTGCAGCGGTACCCGAAGAGTGGTCATCTTCGGGGTGGGGGAGAAGGTCTGAAAGTAGTCAACCCCCTGCCGCTGACTGAAACCACGAGCCACGTAGCGCGCCTTGAAGACAGGCGGAGAACCCGGCGGCCGCTTCACCCTGAAAATCCACATGCCACTGACGATGTTCGCCCCAGTAGGGGGAACAGCGTCGACGTAGGTGCCTTTGGACTTCCAGGAAGCCATCTCTGCATCCATAGCTGCCTGCCACTGAGAGGAGTAGGGACCCTCTATCGCCTCCGCGTAAGAGCGCGGAGTCGGGATGTCTAGTGCATCCGGGTCTCCCTCAAGGGCTAGCAGTACAGACGCGAGATGAGGTGAAGTGGCGGCCAGACACTAGAACTCCTCCTGCCTGTCCTCAAGGACGTCCGTGCCAAGGGCACACTCACCCCCGACGGACAGAGGACAGGCAGACTCAGACTCAGCGACAAGACTAGCAGCGTAGTCTAGACGACAGCGCACAGCAAAGTCGACGAGCTCAGTGACAAGGGCAGAAGCAGAAGAAGACTCGAAAGAAGGGTCAGTGACAGCAGTAGCAAGGAGACGCGTGACAGTAGGACTGGCAGTGCGAAGAGAGTCCGACTCCGGGTCGGCAAGAGCAGGAAGAGAGGAAGCAGGAGGAGAAGGCAAAGGGGCACGCTGAGGAGGAGTAGACGGACGCAGAGACATCCGGTGCGTGCCAGGGACAGGAGGAGGACGCTGACGCGAACCGCGACCACTAGCGCGCATAGTACGAACAGGCGACGCAGGACGAGACGCAGGCTCACGACGCTCAGTAAGACCTCCAGTCGGACCAGCGTAGGGAGAAGGAGCAGGCAAAGGTGAGGCAGGCTGTAGCTATGACTGGGACGAGACAGGCTGTGGACCCTCTGAGGGAGGAGGAGGAGGACCAGGAGAAGGTGTAAGACCAAGAACCTGC